ATCACTCCTCTTTGCTCTCGCTCCAACTCTCTGTAACCCCTTGCATGCTAGTGGCTTCCCGCCTTGCTTGGGGTGAAACGCTTAAAAAAAAAAAAAAAAGAAAAAAGTTACATCGAAAAGCTTCTTCCCGCGAACCACTGCTCCGTGGAACCGACTCCCAAGAGGATGCTTTCTGGATCACTACAAATTTAACCTGTTTAATTCTAGAGTTAACCGTTATCTTCCCTTCCTGTTCGTATAAACTGCCTAATAACGTAACCATCTAGCTGAAGTGGCGCCAAGTCTTGTACATTTTGAAGATCGCTGTATAAAAAACTAAATCGTCTGCTCAAATTTTGTCCGATTGCGCGTTTGATCCTTAAGTGCCCTTGGCTGCTTTATCATTCAAATGAAAAAGAAGGAACATCTCATTTATTTCCCAATCAGTCTAAACGCTAATTTTAATGGATGGTAACCTCTTTATTCTGTACAACTTGACGTGGTTTCTGTTCCCAGCAATTCTCTTTTCAATTCGAGGGAAATTGAATGTGTGGGGGATATTGATCATTGTATGTACTGATTAACCTTATGATATCGTTGTAAGTACACTGTTAGCGCCAGTCGGTCACAATTAAATATTATGTGGTCATTTGACTGCAGATGTTTCCCACGCATACGACAGCAGGATTTATTATTCTTTTATTTCTTTTCCTGGTCTGTACACATTTCTTTTCGGGTCCCGCCCTGAGACCTAAGGTTAGAAATGGCATCATGACATTTTCCACTGACCAATTTAAAAAACCAAAAAAAAAAACCCCCCAAAAATCCAAAAAAACAAACAAACAAACAAAAAAAACGTACACACACATGTTTTACATAGATAAAGCCCTTCGTAAGATATTGGTTGTACTCGTGAGAACAATTTTTTTGTATTTCTTTAAGGCATTGGCTTCCAGGAATCCCTTCAATGAACCTACTAAAATCTTGTTCAACCAATCTGAGCGCTCCAATTACAATGGGGATTGTTGATGTTCCGATTTTATTATTATTATTATTATAATATTTCCTTTGATTTGTATTGCGTACTCATTTATTTCCGAGTCCCGCCCAGAGACATATGGTCAGAAATGGCATCATAACATTTTCCACTGAGCAATTAAAAAAAAAGAAGAAAACAAAAAGATAATCATATTTTATATAGATAAATCCCTTCGTATGTGATGAGCTGTACTCGTGAGAACACTTTTTTTCTACTACTTTAAGGCATAGGCTACCAGGAATCCCTTCAATGAGTCGATTGGAATCTTTTCCAATCAATCCGAGCGCTCCAACTACAACAGGGATTGTTGATATTCTCATGTGCCACAATTTTGAGATTTCGATTTCAATTTTCGATTTCAAGGTCCTTGTATTTTGATAGCTTTTTGAACATCTTCAAAGATACACTGCAGTCTGTAGGGACTGACATATCAATAAGGAGGCAGTTATTTCGTTTGTGGTCTCTAATAACAATGTCTGGGTGATTACCTTTGATTGTTCTGTCTCTGTGTAATGTGTAGACCCATAAAATTGTTACAGGTCCTAACTCCGTAACCGGTTCTGAGTATAATAATAATAATAATAATAATAATAATAATAATAATAATAATAATAATAATAATTGTTTTTATAAAAAAGACAAGGTTATTTACTTCGGTTTCCGATAAGAATGTTTTTACGCTCAGATTAAAATATATTGAAGGCAAGCGGAATAGAAGAAGGAAGTGCATGACCTCCCTAACCAGCTCCCTAAATCGTTGTCAGAATAAGAATTAGGAGGAATATAAAAAAACAAAACAAAACAAAAAAAAACAAAAAAAACTTTATTAAGAGTTACAAAAGACAGGAAGTTGTGGAGAACCATGATCACCCACATCCGAAAGGTAGACAGTAGAAGAAGGATATCAGATTAGTGTCCCTTCTCAGCTTTTTCCCCTTGGCAACTACCACTCCTTCGAAAGAAGTCTAACGTTAATCCCTGGCGCCTGATACGCCCCTCAAAATGGGAAGTGCCGGGGGACTGGACTATATTTGACCTCTGGTTCTGGTTGTAGATGCTCGTCCCGACAATAACTTCGGTTTACACTGTTTGCATTATTCGGACTATTTTCCTCATCTTTCTCGCCATATTTATTACAACGTTTCAGCCGTTGTACGCTCCGGCCTTCTTCAGGTGGCCGGAATGTCGGACTAAACCCTGGGGTAGACTGTTCTAGTTTCACGTGCCATGTTTAATGGATGTCAGTTATCAGTTATCTCCTGCTAATTCCCCTCTCCAAGTTCTCCTCTGCCTTAACCAGGTATTGAACTCACACGCTTTTGGGTCCTGTCACTGGATCTAACTAACGCCTTTATCCACTGTGCCATGTGTCCTTCAGGACACAAGGCATAGTGGATAAAGGCAGTGGAGAACTTGGAGAGGGGAATTAACAGGAGATAACAGATAACTGACAGCCATTAGACATGACACGTGGAACTAGAACAGTCTACCCCAGTGAGTGAAATAAAGGGTTCAGTTTGACATTCCAACCACTTGAAGAAGGCCGTAGCGTACAACGGCCGAAACGTTGTAATAAATATGGCGACAAAGATAAGGACAATGATCCGAATAATGTAGATAATATCTCATCTCAGATATATATATATATATATATATATATATATATATATATATATATATATATATATATATATTGAAAAAGAGAGATAAATATGCGTAGAAGTAACTGAATGATCCTGGAAACAAAAACTTCACACAGAAATCACCCTTTACAAATAGTAAACACGCGAACGGTACAACCCTTTGTAAACATTATGGGAAATTATATGCAATACACTAAAATATAATGGCAGATAAGGAAACAGGATCGTACAACGGCCGAAACGTTGTAATAAATATGGCGACAAAGATGAGGACGATAGTCCGATTAATGCAAATAGTGTACATAATACCTCATCTCAGAAATATACACAGATACTGAAGGGCCGAAAGGATGTAATAAATATGGCGACAAAGATGAGGACAATAGTCCGAATAATGTAAATAGTTTACATAATACCTCATCTCAGAAATATAGACAAATACTGAACCTAGGTTTATTGTTCTCTGCATAACATTCTTTTATTTTCTGCTATCAAATCACAATTTTTTAAATTTATTTTAGCATTTTCTGTCTCATTGATTTATTCATGGACATTTATTTTTAAATTATGGTGATTATTAAATCGATTATTATCATTTTTAGACGTCTTAGACTTTACACAAGAATGCATCTGAATTCTGAATATATCTTCTCTTAATTTGTTCTTTCAGAACTTTAGCGATCATGGCTCTGCCGAAATTTCTATGCCTTCTAACTCTTAGCAACATGTGCCCCATTGCCATCACTTCACTCAACGTCCCGCCAGCCATATATATAAACTCGTAAAGTAGGTGGACGCCATCTTACCTTTACTCTTACTCTTTTGTTACTGTGAGTGTTAAACTCTCCAAATCCTCTTTCTTTATTATGCGTGCAAGAAATCTCATCTATCTCCTTCTGATTCTGAGTAAATGTGTATTTTCTTACTACTCTTTTTTTCTCTTCAAACTCATTGATAATGTTCTCAGTTCCTTCTGTAGGACGATAATTCTGTTGTATACAGTCTTCTCTTTATCTTTGAGGAGGATTGCCCAATATTCATTGTGCAAACAGAAGGACTGATTTTTCATAATAATTTTGAACTCTTTTCTTTGTTTCTAACGAATTTTTTGCTGTTTCTTAGCACTTTACTACGCTTTTTAAAAGCATCTTTTGCAATTGAGAAGTCGATACTCAATTTATCATCGACAATTAACAAGGATAACCAAAACTTTTATTCTTTTAATAAAACATCAGAGTTTTTGGAATTACTTTTGACTGGATTCGAAAACCAGCTACGGCGCCGACAGAAAATGCACAAATAATCTCAAACAAAGAACCTGGTAGATCTTATACATGAGTCGCCCCGAAAGTAATGAATCTTATTTTATTGTTACCCACCCACGTTAGTGGCTGATTCTGGTCTTAAGTCAGTAAGGATTGAACCTTCCAACCAGTGATAATACCTTCATTGGGCTCGATTCTACTTGGTGTCAACAACAAACTGGATAATCCCTCATCAGTTGGGTTATCCATAATTGCTAAAATCTATCTTGTTTTGTTTTAAAGTGTCTGCGCTTCAGGTTTAACCATCCGTACAAGTTCAGGTGGCTGAGTTGTGAATTCAACTGCTAATAGACTGGCTGCCAAATACGGTGAGAGAACTCATTTTACCTTGGTATTTAATCCAGGGTTTGCGTGAGAAGAGATGGGTTCATTCCTTTCCAAATGGTATTTGTGTGAAATTGAATGTAATGATCTCGACCGGAAGTCAAAGTTGGCTTCTCGATATTTCGCTCCGATCCGCTAAGCATTATATGTCCTTCTTTCAGAGAGCAGCCGAATCTGCCTCTGAAACAGGTGTTTCACTAAATAAATTCCTGTAGAAAATATTGCAGAACATTCATCGACACTTGTTGAAACTTTACACAAAACCAAACTGGGGAGAACGCAGACGACATTTTTCCTACGGTGACGCCATCGCTGCTCAGCAAAATGCGCTGCGCCCGCTGGAGTCGATTTTTAAAAGAGCGACATGTAATCTTTTGTTCAATACGCGATAAAACTGATAGTGACGGTGACTATATGGGAAAGGAGTATTTTGTATATTAAAATTTGATTTTCCAAAGATGTGACATTATTCATAAGTTTATATTTTCTTTTCGTGGAAATTTGTAGAAGACTTTCTATTAATTGCAGGAGAAGACGTAAGAGCAGAACGAAAGACAAATTTATTTTTTATTGAATTTAGCAGGAGTTTCGGAAAAATATTTCTTTTCTTTCAGAAAACAATTTAAATTTATTATTAAGAAATGATCACAGTGAGTAAGAAACAGATTCCATGTTGTTCATATAATTCAGGCTGTTCATATCTCTCTATCTATCTATCTATCTATCTATCTATCTATCTATCTATCTATCTATCTATCTGTCTGTCTTTGTGTATTTCTCTTCATATCTATATCTGTCTGTCTGTCTCTCTATCTGTGTCTGTGCGTGTTATTATCTATCTATCTATCTATCTATGAAGCATTGCCGTATCTCATAAATGAATAACAACAGCACGTGCTACATTGTCCTTTTACAAAGGATTCCAACTTATGGTCACATGCCTCTTCCATTGTTAGGCGCGTGGCAATAAAGGAACAGGTGATAATGGGGTCGAAATACAAAACAATGCAACACTCGCTTGCGGTTATAAAATCGCTGTCTGAGTGTCGATGTTTATATTTATTTTAATACGTTTTTTTTTTCAAGATTGACAGCTTATACCTGAGTGGATAGGCTTCCAAACGGCCAGACAAGTGGCTTACCTAGGATAAGATACATTCGAATTACTTTACGATACGAACTTTCAAATCACAATACTAGGAGAGGCGAGTTAAAATACAATGTGTATATATATATAAATTTTTAGATGCCATCATTTGTACAATTTTAGATGTCAACACACACACACACACACACACACACACACACACACACACACACACACACACACAGTTCTTTAGTACTTTTGTTTTTATTTTTTAAAAATAGTGCTCCATACAGAAGTAGAGCTTAAATTATAATTATTTTTTCCGGCTCTCGTTTTTGAAAAATGAGAACTCTTATGTAGCGAAGGAATCATAATTTTTAAAAGAAAATTAATATATATATATATATATATATATATATATATATATATATATATATATATATATATATATATATATCAAATGTAAACAAAGCGAATTTTCTAGAGAGCAATAGCTAAGAAATCTGTCGGATTTATAAAAAGCCCATTACTTACTTGAGAAAATTTGTTTTGTTTACGTTTGGATATGAAACTGGTGATATGCAACATTTCAGGAAGTGGATGTCTGACAAATTGGTTCTCTGTAGCTCAGACGGTCAGAGGTTATCGAATTTAACGAGAGAGGTCATAGGTTCAAATCCTGTCAAAGAGCGTAAATTTTTCTTTAATAAGATTTCCTTAACATTCAGAACGGTAGACAAAAATAAATAAATATACTGTTTAATAAAGTTTACTCAATTATGAGTATTGAGTATTCATAAAAAATATATATATATATATATAAAAGGAAGAGGTTATAGTAGTTCCAACGAGAGAAAAGTGTGTATATTATAAAAAGAGAGAAACCGCAAACGTTTTTTTTGGTTGTATTTTATATTTATATATATATATATATATATATATATATATATATATATATATATATATATATATATATATATATATATATATATATATATATATATATATATATATATAACCCAGTCTGTCCTGCTATTTTACCCATAGCTGAAGGAGAGAAAGAGGATTCATACCTTTCCCAAGGGTATTAGCACGTAAGGAATGTAATGGATTCGACTGGAATCTTGGATGGCAACTGGTCTAAGAGAAGGACAACTCTGAATTCAAAACCTGCGGAGGGTCGTTTGGGGACCTTGTGGCATTCGGTGCACCAGGTCTCTGTATTCGTCTCTTCAAAAAGTGTGGATGGTCCTGCACGAGGACTTCCCCACTATAATCAAATCTCATGTGCCGGTGTCGGGCTGTCGGTTTCCTGGAAACTGATCTGCTTGACCCTCATACGTCGAATCTCGACGGGAGAGTCGACTATATATATATATATATATATATATATATATATATATATATATATATATAATTTATTCGAAAATAAAAAACAAATATTTTATTTTGTTACAACACTACTGGTGTCTTATCAAGTGATATGTTATGGCAGTGTAGAACTTTTAGAGGGAAATTAACAGGAGATCACTGATAATTGACATCCATTAAACATTGCACGTTGAACTAGAACACTCTACATCATTGAGCGAAATCAAGGGTCCAGTTCGACATTCCAACCACCTGAAGAAGGCCGGAGCGTGCAACAGCCGAAACGTTGTAATAAATATGACGACAAAGATAAGGACAATAATCCGAATAATGTAAATAATGTACATAGTACCTCATCTCATATATATATATATATATATATATATATTGAGAGAGAGAGAGAGAGAGAGAGAGAGAGAGAGAGAGATAAATATGCGTAGAAGTAACTGAATGATCCTGGAAACAAAAACTTCACACAGAAATCACCCTTTACAAATAGTAAACACGCGAACGGTACAACCTTTTGTAAACATATATGGGAAATTATATGCAAATACACTAAAATATAATGGCATATAAGGAAACAGGATCAACATTAATCAACACTTAATCTAAAAACTGTAAATTCTATCTGTAGGAGAATATAGCTCTACTCACCTTCCCAGACCAACACAAATTACTAAATAAACGATCAGAACTTATCTCAAAATCACAAACTAAAACGGAATACCT